TGGTTTGATCATCATGACAACTTTCTGATCTCATAAAGGAACAGAAACATGTACAGGAAACCTGGTGGTGGTAAATACGGCTGTGTAGCATACTGAACCAAAGATACTCGAATTTTCCCCAAGCTGGCATTCTGGCTGTTGCCCAAAAACACTTTAGATATCTCCAAATTATCTAGGACCTGATTCAAAGCCCATTGAAGTCAATAGGAGTCTTCTCACTGACTTCAGTGGACATTGGAACACACCCCTAATGACTAAATAAAAGATGTAGTTATGAGTCTTATTTAAATACCAAGGAGTCATACACAATTTCATTATTTTCTTTCAATTCAAAGGCTAGTCTTTAACTTTTTTGTCAGTGATGTTTCCCCCTGCATTTATCAGCCTTTCTCACTAGCAAAAACTATACTGATTCCTACTTTGCCAAGCAATCTCTTGGATTAATTAAACGAGTACAGGTTAGGGCACTGGATGGCTCAAGGAACTGATAATGGGGATATCTAAACTTTTCACCTCCCAGTTTCCAGTAAAACTCACTTTTGCAAAATTTTACTCACATATTCAAACAGAGTGAGCCATCTGTTTTGATGGGAAAGCAAAATATCATTTGTTTTTTCACCATCATCATTCTAGTAAGGCTGGGAGAGCAGAATTGCTCCTTGCCTGGCCAATTTTCATGAGAGCTTCGCAAAGTTTATTTAAATGCAACCCAACAGAGTAATGACTGAAAGAAAATTAATTTCTATCGAAAAGGTATTGGAACGTCTGCATGGAATGAATCAGTGTTCTTAATCTTGTCACCAAAGAGTAAGTGTCCATATCACTAGAACCACCATCACCATATTTGGCACTAATCAGCAATTTCACTAGTGGAGCCAAAAGCTAAATGAATGTTGAGATTCAACTACCCTTCCTGAACAGAACTGGCACCCTAAAGGGGTGGTGTAAGAGGAATGCTGCACTACACTGATCATACTGGATCCATTCCCTGGTTAAATTTAGGACTTTGAGCTCCAATGGTGTTATTCTGGCCCCTTTGGTGAACAAATAATTCACATGCAGTTTTTTAAAGAGGAAAAAAAAATCACACTGGTTTCGTGCATGGGCTTCTGCCATAAAGCACAATTACATAGCCATGAGTCCAGGACACAAATTATGGATCTGGATCTGAAATCCTCCCAAGTTCAAGGGTGACTGAATCTAAGATTTTTATTTGTGCCATTCTCCAAGTCAGACAGACAAAATAATTACACTGTACCTCTTCCCCAGCACATAATAATTCCTTTGTAGACTCTATCATAATTGAGCAGTTGATTCTGTACAGTATCTGGCGATGTTGAACCATTCTGAGTCATCTGATGTTACTCATCCTGCCTGTGAGCTCCTTCTGGCCTCCTGATGCTGCGCCCACACTGTTCCCCAGAGGAGATGATCACAGAGAGAAACATCAGCTCCACTTTGCACATGTATGACATTAATCAGCGCTGACTAGTACTGCTAATGAAGAAGAGCTCTCTCGCACTCTCTCTATCTCATGTTTAACCACGTGCGTACCTTGCTACAGAATAACACAGAGCCAAAACTAAATCCTTATAGTTAAAAAAAAAACAACACCCACCATATTTATTTACCTGGACTTCTTTTCAACAGCCAGAAGCTGAAAAAAATGTCTGTTGCTTTTAAAATAGGATGGAATTCCCCTTTCACATAGACCTCTTTTAAAATGTTATCAGCCAGTTGTAGCGTAATCCTGCTCAGAATGCACTGTAGAAAACAGTAAACTCTATCCCCAGGAAGTGGTTTCCACCTAGCGGGAAGGGAATCCATACAGACACTTCACACTTTTTCCATTGCTACCTAGCAAAACAGTGTCCCTTCATCTCATATGCCCCGATCCAGGATTGGGACTAGTCACACGTTTAACATTAACAATGAGCTGTATTAGTGCCTTTTTGGATCGGGGCCACAGATTCCACTACAGCTCTCGTACTGACCTGACTGATGAACTCAAGATCGATCCTCTGGGGTGACCCGTGGTACGCCAACACTGCCCACACCTACATTGTGAGTGTTTGAGCCTGCAGGGGAGCTTGAACTGCTCAAAACCCTAGTCTTTCACAGGATGCCCAGCTCCTGGATTCAAACCAACGGAGTTATAGGACATCCTATGGAATTGAGGCAGACAGCAGTGGAAAGGCTGGTACATCACTAAGCTAGGGAGATGCTGCAGGAGACAGGGATAAGGAAGTTACTGACTTGTAAAGCCAAAGCCTTAGGCTAGGTCTTCACAGCAGAGATAACTCACGTTCTCTACCCTGTAGTAGTTAATTCCTCCCCAGGGAGAGCAGCCACACTATAAAATAATACTAGAGCTGCACTGATGAATGGGTTAACAGCACAAACTGATCGTGTTAGTACTTAGCAAGTGCCTCTTCCTCAAGCTGTAGCCTATACGCCTGACAGGCCAGCCAATCTGAGTTAAAAGAACCACCACTTGAGCTAAGGGTTTTGTGCATGGACAGGTCTCAAGTTCAAGGCAACAGCCAAGTTATAACCTGAGTTAACTTTGCAGCGAAGATAAGCACTTAGTCTAGCAAATGCACTTGCCTGCCTGAAAAGACTGGAACCACCGGAGTCACGGCATCTCATGGTTTTTCATGCCTGTTGCCTGCGCAGGTGGTTTTGTGACTATTATACACATATCACATAACCAACACCATTGCAGCTGTCTTCCCACGGCCAAGAGGATGGATTCTGGAGGTAGTTACTAACCAAAGTAAGCCTTCTCCTCAAGGCCATTTCCTCAAGGCCACTGGCACTTGTGCAAACCTGCTTCTGAATGTGAAGAATCAAATATTTCATTTTGCAAAGACACTATTATGGCCTAACTATAAACCTGCCCAGAAGGCTTGAGATTTACAAACATTAGACATCAATATTGCGTATTTATTTTGGATAATTAATGAACATAAAAATTGCTGACATTAACCTGCAATGGAAAAACTGGTTTTAATGAACCCCATAAAACCTGCTATTCATGGCAGCCTCATAAAGCTCCATATTGAGTTCAGCTAAAGGCTATAGTTTTTATCAATACAGTCAACAATTAATATTGACTAATAAAGGTATCCTGTAAACTGAGTCATTTCATTATGTTGCTGTATACATCTCATGTCCTCTGAAACATTTCTCCCATAAATCTGGGGTTTCTCAAAATAGCCTGCTTGATAGTTTAGGATATAGAAGCCCAGTTGCCAAAGAAGAAAAACCAGCAACCTTCATATTTTCTAGACCAAACTTTTAAAGTGGCCTCAAGCAGGCTTTCATCTCTGCAACTGCAGCATTAGAGACACAAGTGAAAATGTTCCACTTTATTTGAACAAACAAGTGACGGAATGCACATAACTCAGTTGTGTTCTTTTAGGCCTGCAGATAGCCTGGTAATGGGAGTGGTCTGGTAGATATGTATATAGACATATGTGACTGTAAATCCTATCAATTTAGGGCACCAGTGCTAACGTGTAACAATTTCACATGTAAGTGATTTGGATGTGCAAAGTTGCATTTGCATCAATAGAGACCACATTATGGAAGCCTGGATCAATTTTTTAATGATGTTTGCTGAAAAACACTCTCGGAGGCTAATGTAGTTCCTCCCCCCTTTCTGTGAAAAAGACTAAACCTCGGTGGTTTGCTTTTCTTAGTGGGCAAAAGTAAAAGAGAAAGCTGAAGGACAGGATTACAACTGCTCAGATACCATGGTGAGGGACGCAGTATAAGGACCGGACTACAAGAGAATGAAATTGGGATTTAAGGGTTTGGTTTGGTTTATGAAAAAAGACCTAACAGGGTGTCCAAAGTCAAGATCCCATAAGTCACCCAACAGTTCCACAGGTCACTTAGCAAAACACTAGACAACACAGCCCAAGGCTGGAACTAAAACTGCTGGTTTTGCCACTCCATTGCAAAAGCTTGCCCGCCCTAATGGGTGTGACCCTGCTGAGAATGCAGCACTTAAGGAGTAAAAAAGTACTGTAAAGATAATAAAAAAACTTATCAAACCGTTCCTTTATCCCATTAACAGAGAGTTGTTATTTTTGAGCCTTGTCTAACCTGTATCATTATCACTTAACAAAACCTTAATAGGCCTCAGCTGTAATTCTGTTGGAATTAAACAGAAAATCATGTGGGTGGCGTTCGTCTTACCCTGTCATGGTTTCCCAAGTAAAAATCATCGTAATTTGTCACTACAATACTCGTATCAAGAAGCATAAAGAGAACAAACAATGCAGTCACTTCATGTCAGCCTTCTTTGCTGAGTCCAAGCTCCAGAGGGGCTAGCAGACAGCAGCTATATTAAGACGCAGCAATTAAATTAAAGGTGCAAAGGCACAGGGCTGCGTGAACACTGGGGTCAAACCACAATTCTATAAAAATTCTCTCTCCTTCCCACATGGACTAGCAGAACTGCTGACCAAAAGGCTCCTACACCAACCAAGCCTACAGGAGTCTCTGCAGTTTGGGAGAGAAGGCTACAAAGATTAAAAATTCATGACCTTCAGCTTTGAGTTCCCACAAAAGAAAGATCTCTAAAAATATTTCACAGTTGCTTCCATCAGAGAGCAGCCAGCCTATTTCCATAAACCAGCTACTGTCAAGGAACCAGACAGGAAGGGAGGAAAACTATCGGCCCAGAAATCTGCACAAGAGATAAGCATGGAGGGAAGAGAGATTTCAATGCTTTTTCTCTGAAACGCTCCTATGAAGAGCAAATAGGGTATTACACAGCCACTTACTGATCTCCAGTTCTGTGATGAATAAGTAGGAGCCTCTCTAGCAGTTCATTAATGAATATTTTGCATGGCAGAGCAAAAGGCCACACCCTGGGATGATTAAGAGCATTTTCCTCCCTTCTCCTGGCCGGATCAAAAATCAAGGCAGATTAAAATTGGACAATGAAGAGTGGCGTTTGTGAAGGCCTATCTGGAGTTGTCACTTACCAGTTTCAGTGTTTTCGTGTTCCGTATCGGTGAGCGTGAGGTTGGAGTTGGCTCGGCTTGAGAGACAGGAGCTGCGGCCTGACTTGGTATTGCGTCCCCAGAGCCTCACCGGGTGCTCTGGCGACATGACGACATCTGCCTCAGTGTCAGCATCTGAGCCAGCACTGATGGAGTAGCCGCAGTGAGGCAGCCCTATATCAGTCCTGTATAAAGTCCCGTGTGTGGGCATGGCGTCGTCGAGGCCCAGCTCTCGCAAAGAGAAGTTGGCTCCTAGGAGAGAACACGGAATTGTGGTTTTTAATCAAACTGGAATATTTCTTCTGTCCAGCATTTCAATGATTAGTGGATAAGCAAATGGTATAGGTTCGTAAGAACAGGTTATACAAACCCGTCAGGGATTGTCTAGCTAATACTTAGTCCTGCCTCAGCGCAAGAGTCTAGACTAGATGAGCTACTGAGATCCCTTCCAGCCCTACTTTTCTATGATTCTATAGTCAAATGCTCTCAGCACAAGAGCAGGAGACAGCAACTCCTGAGTTCTAATCCCTTACCTGACACAGTGACTTGCTGCGTGGCCTTCGGCAAGCAACTTAGGCCCCAGTGTTCAAATCTTGCTTCTAATGTAGGATGTGTGAGCTGAGGCACTTTGGTCTTGATTGTCAGAGGTGGTGACAATCAACTGCAACTCCCATTGAAAACCAGGCCCGAGGTGTCTCAAGTCAGCCAGCCAGCAATTAAGGCACCCAAGGTGGCCACTTTTGAAAATGAGGGCCTTCCCTCTTCTACCCCAGCTTTACCATTTGAAGAATGGTGATGATATGCCTTGCCTCCCACTTCAGATATTGTGAGGATTCAGTGAGGCGTTTGAACAGTACTATGTGTATGCAAAACACTGTGAAGATATTAACTATGAGCAGTGTCACTCAAGAAGTGATGAGACTCCTGTTATTGGCCCTAACATATTACTCTGTACACCGCGGTATAATGAACAGTGAATTTTCAGTGTTAGTGAACAAAACACACGTCTCCACCATCTCACCTGTAATTTACTTTGAACAGTTATGATAACAAACACACCAGCTATTTTTCATACTCTTTCTTGTGGTTCTGGCATTTCTTGTAACTGATTTCTTTCATCTTCAGTTTCTTGGAATCTTTACTAACTCACCTGTAAATAGCTGGTTTTGTCATTTACTTTTAAAAATAAATGGCAACTAGTCCATCTTTCTCCAAGAAGAGCTGGAAAATGTTAATGGTCTTGTGGTTAAAGCACAAGACTGGGAATTGGAAGATGTGGTTTGCTTCCTGGCTGTATTACAGCCTTCCAGTGTGACATCAGACAAGTTACTTAAACTCTCTGTGCCTCAGTTTTCCCATTGGCAAAATGGGAACAATGTTCACCGTAGTAGTACAAAGTATTGCAAAGATATAAATAAATAGTGTTCACATCCACATGCATCAGGAAATCTCATCCCCAGTGAGCGAGCCAGCAAATGAGTGAAGTAGCCAAACACAAAGCACAACAACTGCTTAGCAGCACACAGCAAGAACTACAGAAAAATCCTACCCAGCATTTATACAGTGCCTTACCATGTACTTTACAAATATCAGTTAAGCTAACCCATGAGAGATAGCTGAGTATTATTATCCCATTTTACAGATAAGGATAATAACAGACAGGTTAGATGACTTTCCCAAGGTGACATAGTGATAAAATTCCTGCCTCTTTGTCCCCTGCCTTTGAGTAGTAGACAATAGTGCCTCAACCGAATTTATCCAGTTTAAAAGTAAAGCGGGGGAAAGGAGGGAAGAGGGCAGTTAAGAGAATATAATCACTCCAAACAGATTTTGACCAGAACACACCTGCTCTTGGGAGAAGTAACATGGGACATTTACTGATTAGCAATGGTTAGGATTTTATTTTCCATATCCACTGATCCAACACTGTCAAATATTCCTGGAGCATTGATTCAGCGCTGACTCAGAGGTGAGTGTGCCACCCCTTGAATCATTGAAACCACATCTTGTGGGACCTATGTTTCCTTCGGAGGTCTCACCTCCGAATGCTAACCACTCTCAACCCAGCTTAGTTTATTCACTCTGACAGAATCACAGCAGAGGTTATTGGGCTGCAAATAGATGCAATTGTTTTGCTGGCTAAAAATATAACCTGAAAATGACTCCTGAGTTCACGTCTAGTTACCTGCAGAGCTTCATAATCAGTCCCAGGCAATGTGAATGGGGATTCAGTTATTAGCACTCTGTTCAGAAAGTTGTGCTGAAAAGCTGGGGAGAGCAATTAGTGGAGCAATTACTGGCTCCATTCTAATCCACATTTTTTAATTAATTTACATTCTCTTTTTTCAGCATTCAAAGACTTTAAAAGACTTTGGCATCCTGTGAATGGCCTTATCCGCACTTTGCATTTACCTGACATAATGCACCCCTGCCTTTGCTCTACAGTATGCCACAATTTGATGGATTAAAGGAATGTTTTGGACCAGTAGGGGGCATTAGACCCAGTGTCTTGGCCAAACTCCAACTTGGGTAATTATATTCTGCCTAATTAACTTCCCTTGTATTTTCACTTGGATATGGCACTCCTCACATCCTGTTGCTATGAACTGTTATACAGCTACCATGTTTCACCTCAGAGGTGGTTAGACTTCAGTTGTAGGCAAAGTGATTCTTGTGGAGGCCAATCTTGACCTCTCTGCTTAGCTGAACTCTTGGGATACGTGTGTCACGCTCTCTGGAGTGGCTCACGACTGTGAGCATCTACCTCATGGCAGTCTGTCAGAAAACAGGGCAAATACCGCAAGCTCGTGGTGTGTTCTATAATTAGATTTCACCAAGCCAGTGACAAATGTGAACTCTTGGATCATTATATCAGTCTTACACGGAGTCACGGCCAATCCTCTTAGACACTCCAGCCTATCTTGCCACCCAGACAAACTGAATTTTGTGATAATGGTCACTTAAACAAAAAAATCACAACACATCAGGTTGTTCCCAGTCCCAAGAGACCAGCCACTTACCCCAGATCAGCTGGTACTCTGGATCTTACACCAAAGACAAAACTGACAGCCAATTCTATAATACACTAACTAAAGGTTTATTAGCTATGAAAAAAGAATGAGGGTTATTGAGAGGTTAAAGCAGGTAAAAAACATGCACAGGTGAGTCACTGTTCGTAATTCCAAACGGTGGCAGCGATGTAATAAACAGTCAGTTTCCCAAAACAGCTTTTCCGTTTACCCAGATTGTCTCTGGGGATCACTGCTTTGCTTCTGGTACACTCATCTGTAAGAGTCCAAACAGTCCGGAGATGCAGGATCTTTCCTTAAATTCACACTTATCGCTTCTTCTCACAGAAAACAAGCTGACAGTGTCACCACACACGTGGGCTTTTCTTTTGATGACGGAGCGGGGAATGCATTTTTAGTCTTTGACTGCCAATCAACACACACAATGATCACTTCCTTTGAAATTAGCACTTTTCTGTTAAAGTTCTTCATTTGCATTCCACCAGGCTTCTTTCTCATTGGATGGGTTATTTAGTTACAGGGGTACACACAATGTAAATGTTTGCTACTACATTATAATGGGATACAGACAACTGAAAACAATGCAAGTACCATTCCACTCGTTTCCATGAAGCTTTAACACCAAATACATTTGCATACCTTTGACAATCACTTTGATCTATACTAATACACAAGACAATTGGCCTGCGGCTCTGGCATGAGCTGGCACCTGATCTGCCAGCATCACAATGTCTACACTCCAAAAAAAAACCCTCAACAACCCTGCAACGGTGAGTCTCACAGCCCAGATTGTCTGACTTGGGCTCGTGGGGCTCACGTTACAGAGCTAAAAATAGTGTAGACATCCCTGCTCAGGCTGAAGCCCAGGCTTTGAGACACTCCAGCTTTGCCAAGTTTCAGAGCCCAAACTTCAGCGCATACAGAAACATCTACACTGCTCTTTTTAGCTCTGTAGTGCAAGTCCCGTGAGCCCAAGTCAGTTGACCCAGGCTTTGGGCCTTGTTGCCAGGTTTGTTTGGGTTTTTTGCAGTGTAATGTACCTTTGATGACTTCAAACTCTCTCTGGAAATAGTTTGTACACTAACTTAGAAAAGCACTATCAGAAGTTCTATAATAAATCTAAGATGGTTCTAATTATTACAGCCACCAAATTTTATTGGGGCAGAAAAACCTGTCTCATTATTTTTTATTGTCAAAAGGGGCTAAGACCAAAACCCCGTATCTAAACTCAGGTTGCAGATCCCTGTTCACATGGGAGTTCTTAGCTCCTATTTGTTTCTCCAATGATTTGAATTTGAACACATTAACCTAGAGACAGCTGTGTCTCAGGCTGGACTGTGAAACATTATGTTCAGGTGCATTTGGTTCTGCTCATTAGAGAGATACCAAATACCACTCTGGACCTTGACTTTGGATCCAGGGCTGAGTTTTGCTCCCATCCCTACTATAAAGCCATGTTAAAGCTTGTGATTTCCCTCAAGTTTCCATTTGTTGATGTTATGCAAAACTGGCCAAAACAACTAACAGCACTGTTCTAAGCTGTATTCTGGCTTTTGTGGGTTACAGCTGAGCTAGCCCAACAAAAGACCCCTTCTAGCAGGTACTCTCTCCTGCAATAACCTCTGTACAGTGAATGATCCACTAACCACAGGCAGCTGGCATTTTGTTTTTTCTCTTAATAGGGAAACACCTGCTTAATTCAGTTAGCTATGGAGCTCTCAGTGGAAAGAGGGAAGGAAGGAGGGTGCACAGAAGGAGATAGAGCAATAGACCAACAAACTTGACACCAGCTCCAAATAAAAGCAGAGAAAACACCTTTCAGTGTGAGAAGAAACTAACTATGGTTCAGTTGGTTGAGGCACTATGGTCTGGAATGGTCAGAGTACATAAACTGTTTGTGAACTTCACACCTAAGTAATTAACTAAAATAGATTAAGCTTTCTGACAGAGTTGACAGGCAGGGATACTCGTGGCTCAGATGCACCACCAAACCTTGGGAGCCAGCTCAGAGAGCACAGAACAAGCCTATGATAAATTATTCCAGATACCACTGCTGTGCTATCATACCGGAGAACATGCACTCCCGTTCCACAGCCTCAACAGCAAGTGGACTTGAATGACTGATATAACAGATGTAACTGCATCTCCCCTCTCCACCCCACCAGCTCTGCCTTTGGTCCAGACCCCAGAGTAAGGATTAAGCCTACGCTCTACGGCTCACCA